TCGAATAAATGTTATTTGTCTGTTTAAAATTAATAGTTTATATATTTTTTATTTTAATAAGAAATAAACAAGATACACAAGACAATAGTAAATGAGTAGTGATGACTTTTTCAGGTTTAATTATTTTAGGTGATTTTAGAAGAAATCTTTAAAATCGAAAGTTTTTTCTAATAGAAAACGTTTAGATTCTCTTTTGAATTGTTCTAAGGAGATGCCTCGAAGAATTTTATTTTTAATTATATTTTTTAAAAAACTTTTCCATATAAATGGTCCCCGGTATTGAATTTGAAATGAATTGAGTTTTAAATAAGATCTTGGAATAACAAAATTAACAGATGAAAATTTAGTGGGATATTTATGAGATATTTCGGTAATGTAAGACTGAAATATATTAGGAGATAACGCATGTTTTGTTTTAAACGTAAATAGCATAACTTGGTATATATTAAGTTTGTAAATATTAAGCACATTAAGTTTCTTTAAAAGAGACTCACCATTAACAGTTCTGTTAACGCCAAAAATAATCCTACAAGCATGTTTTTGTTTGCTATAAATTTTTTTGAGCTTCCCATAATTGGTACTTGCCCATGCAAGATTACAATAGGAAAGATAACTATGAATAAATGAGAAATATATAATTTTTAAAGATTCCGTATTAAGAAAAGGTTTAACTTTATATAGGATTGAAATATTTTTGGAGATTTTATTTTCAATAGATCTAATATGATATTTCCATGATATATTTTCATCTAATATCACTCCTAGAAAGTTAGTAGTTGACTCTCTTTTAATAACTTTTTTGTTCATAAAGAGATCAGGTAGTTTTAAAAAAAGGTTATCACCTTTACTAGGTTTGTGGAACAACATAAATTTAGTTTTCCCAACATTTAATGAAAGTTTATTATTCGTAATCCATTTATTTATTTTTAATAACTCTTCATTAAAAATTCTAAACAGATCTTTAATATTTCTGTTAGAGTAAAAAAGATTTGAGTCATCAGCAAACAAAATAACGTTTAGAATTTTGGATGCTAAATACAAATCATTAATGAACAGTATGAATAATAAGGGCCCTAAGATTGATCCCTGGGGAACACCACAAGTTATGATATGTTTTTTTTCTTCATTTTCTGTATATATTATGTATTGTTTCCTGTTTGAAAGGTAACTTTTAAACCACTGTAAGTTATTGTTTAATACTCCATACATTTCTAGTTTTTTTATTAGAATATCATGATTAACAGTGTCAAATATTCTCTTCTCTTGATTACACAATATTAAAAAATGCGCGCGCATCTAAACTTGCGAAAACGAAAGTCGTGACCGATAAATTACGTTAAGGTAATAAAGTATTTTGGTTGCTGCTACACAAGATTTATTTCCTTTAATTTAAAGTTTTAAAGTAAAAGAATCGCATCACTCTCAATAATTTTGTCTGAAAAAATAATTTCTTGTTTAAAAAAGAGAGGAATGAGTGGAAAGCCAAATTCAAAATTTGCCCAGCTGGATCATTTATTTATGTTTCTCCCAAAGATAAATAAATTACCAAATGTTAATTTTATTTATCTAATTCATCTTACAATCATAATTAGGCCAAGATTATGTAAGTTATGTTACCTTTGACATGTTATTAGTCTCAATAACAAGAGTTAAAAACTTTAAGTTGGATGAAACTTGACAGTTTCCCTATATGGGATCAAGTTGAAGACTTAACTGTAAACAAAAAAGCACCTTTTTAATGTTAATAAATCATTGAGCTATGACCAATTTTCAAAGTTCAATAAGTTTTTATTATCAAACAAAGACTTACTGAAAAAGATAAGTTCATCAAAAAAGTATAGTTGGTTTGATTCATTTTCCCACGTCCATAGTTCTTGCTCTGTTCCAACAAGTGATTGGTCGATAACTGTGAAATTGATAACTGATTCAAGTGATTAGTTAGATACAAGTGAACAATGGTTACAAGATGATAATAAAGACAAGTTAAATAATGGAGGAATAATTATTGACTTGCATTTATATAGTATAGTATATTTTAATATAGAATAACAAATAAGACTTAATTCATCAAGAATCAATAATTGTAAGACAGCAATAAAATTGACAGCATTAAAATTAGGTTAATTTTAATTGCAAAACCATCAATTTGTGTTAAAAAAACAAATGACATTTAAAAAAGGGGTTATTATCTATTTAATTCTCATTAAAAGGGTCCACTCTGGTAATGCCTCGATAAATAATAAAAATTCTCATTCATTTAACACGTATTGTAAGATCAGGGGCGGGTTATGTTACTTGCCAAGAAGGGGACTAAAAAGGTCAACAAAAACGTCTGCGTATTTTCACTTTTAAGTTTTTTTTAATTTTTTGTACTTTAGTGTAATAATTAAGTTCATATACGTATAATTACCTATAACAGTCAATTTCATTTTTTCAGTATAGTAGTCCAATTCTGTATAATAGTCAATTTACAAAAAAATATTTCGAAAAAAAGTCTGCATTGAAATTTTTTTTGAGAGTCGCCCATAATAATTGACGTTGTTTATCCTAAATAACTAGCTATATGTAGGTTGAACGGAGTACCATAATGGCGTGAAGAAAAATATCGAAAAAATAATGAAAAGTGTTTTTTTTTTAATTGTTAAGTCCTGATATAAAAAACTAATTAGTATAAAAACAAGTATCAACTATTGTAATTTAATAGGATAAATAATCCTTTTTGATATGCTAGAACCCAAAAAAAAGCAATTTAAAACAGTATATGTACTTGTCAAAAAGTGTAAATAAAATAAACTATCGAGCAAATGATTTGAAAAATCTTAGAAGAAAAACCTTCACAGATCAACAATTTTTTTTTTATTTTTTCCAATGAAATATTACTGGAAATTGGGTTTAAAATTGGGTACCATGAAAAAACTTCCCGAAAAAGTTGCCGAAAAATTCGCTAATTGACGTGACTGAAGTGTTTAATACTACTCTTGAATTTGTTCAAGATATTTTTCAAGCCTTTGATAAAAAAGAGTTTACATTAGGTATTTTTATAGATCATAGCAAACCTTTTGACACAGTTAACAACCTTTTTTTTATAAAAAAAACTAGTAAATTACGGACTTAATAATACAAACACAGTTTGGTTTAAAAAACTACTTGTTTTATAAAAAGCAGTATATGTCTTATGATGGTGTCTTATGATGGTGTCTTATGATTATGGTAAAACTGATAAAATAAAATAATGACTAGTGGAGTTCCTCAAGGAACTATTTTTAGGGCCCATTTTAATTTAAATATACATTAACAACTTAAGTTGAGATTCGGTTACTTTAGATTCTATTTTGTTTGCTGATAATACCAATTTATTTTATTCTTATATTATTTTTTTCTATTATTATAATATAATATTTATTATATTATAGTAATATAAAAACACTAATAAAAACAGTCGACAAAGAACTGTTAAAAGTAACTGAATGGTTTAACACAAATAAATAACACAAATTTCCTCTTAAGCTTCTAAATGTTAGCATTGGGAATGAGTTTATAAAAAGAGGACACTCAATGAGGTTTATAAGTGTTCTTCTTAAATAAAATGTAACATTGATTAACCACAAATAGTTATTCAAAAAAAAAATTTCTAAAAATATTGGCATAGAGTAAAACCGTACCTATATCCAATTTGCTTAAAATATATCTACTTCTTATTTATTCATTGTTGTCTTTATTATGCTAACATTGCTTGGTACAGCACCAGTAAAAAAAAAAAAACTAAACAAACTATACAATAAATAAAAACATGCCATAAAAATAATATCTAACGCAGACTCTCTCTCATTCAGAACTACTTTTTTGTTAATCTAAAAATTGAAAATGTTTTTCTAAATAAATATTTATCATTATTTAATTTTTGTGGACAAGCTTAATAACAATACAATGGCAAATACTTCCTAAACGCAATTTAAAAAATACAGCACAAATATCTTACTAGACATGAAAACAATAATTGTATTAAAGCTAATACCCAGTGGGAAAAGAGCTAGCGACTAGCGTGCAACTAGCTAGCTTTATAGCACTTTTCAAGCGATTTTTTTTTCTTATTTTATCCTTTATTAATGTCTCTAACATCTTTAAAAATTCGATTTTTAGTGTTGAGTCTATTATAATTATGAGAATAATTGAACTTTAAACATTGCGATTTTGTAGCAATGAGTCGCTAACTACATATCGTAGCTTTGTAGCTAGATACGAAATAACTAAAAATCTATAGCTGGTTAATAGCTACATACTAAAATTTTTTTGATAGAGATTTTATTACGATATGACGGTAGCTGCAATAGCCTGTGAGTCTTTAGCTTATTAATCGATTATTAAGCGATTTGGCTACGAGGACAGCTAGTTCTCGTAGCCAAATCGCTGTCTTTACCTTTACAAATATCGCTGTCTTTATTGTAACAATTATAGCTAGCTATTCGCTAGCCGACTTCCCACCGGGTACTCACTTTGAAGGAAATAACATTTTTTATCACTGATAGAGGCCCTCAATTATGGAGAATAATAATCAGAAAAGACATCAAAGCAATTTCGTTTAGTTTTGATTTAAAAATTATTTTAATTAATCAAAGCATAAAGGACTTCTCATTTTTTTTCTTATTTACATTTGACATCATTTATTATGACATATTTTGATGGCTATATTGTTTGGTGGATTATTAGGGGCTTAGCGATTTGTAAAATTTCCAAATACGAAAGTTGTAATTTTTTTAAATGGCAAATTTATAAAACAGAGTATGTTCTAATTATAATTATTTGTAGTTAGAACATACTCTATGTTCTTAGACGAAGGTTTTTTAGGTTTTAATTTTGGTCCATTCATGTTTGACTTCGTTATAACATCTGGAACACTGTCCTTGTTATGATCATTATCGGGATTATATTTATTTTACGAAATAAAATTTTGCTAATCCAAAAACTTTGTTCTAATTCTTGATTTAAAGATTTCAAATCAAACGAATTATTTATTATGCACAAATCTTGACTGCAATCATTGTGAAATGACATTAGATTGGTAAAAAAGGAAAATATTCAATCTTAGAGTATGTTTGAATATGATTTAAAATATATAGTTTTAAAGCATAATATTTATATTACAAAACATATTGAATATAAAATTATTCCTCAAAAAAATATTTTTTTTATTATTCGTTATAAAGAACTTTTAAAGTTCTTATTTATTAAATTGTTGTTTGAAATCTAATATTGACTTTTTAATATTATGTAATTACTTTATCATTGTAATAACTGTTGCTTAATTTATTAATATTATTGTTATTATTATAGTTAATATTACTATCAATGCTATTGGAATTAATTTTTTTTTTAATTATTTGTTTTTTACTTATTCGAATAATCGTAAGTAAAAAATAAATACTAATCTATTTATTTCAACATTTTTTTTTTACTTTTTATTTTTCTGAAATAGTTTCTTGCATTGCTGCTTTTTTTTTGTGTTAACTTAATTTATTTTTATTTTTTAGTTATTATTGGTTTCGTTATTGTTTTTAAATTTATCTTGTTTTTATAAGTTTAGCTTTTGTTGAGTTTTTGTTTATTGTTTTTTGTTTGAATTTTGTTGTTTTTATTTGTTATTATTATTATATCATACTGTTATATTACTTATAAAGTTTCATTTTGATTAAAATATTATAAATAATAATCATTGTCAGTTTCTTTACGATAACTGTTTTTGATCTCACAGTAAGTAGTTACTTTATGTCAGTTTTTAACTGTTTGTAACATTTCTTATTTGCATATATAATATTCAGTTTTTGTTAAGAAATCTATTAATGATCATATTAATTATCATTATTATTATTCTTATTGTTATCACTGTTATTTTTATCGTTATTATTGTTGTTTTTATTATTTTTAATATTATTATTGCTATTTGTATCATTAACATTATTTGATATCATTTTCATCAGGTTTTTACTTTAAATTAGTTTCAAACTATTTGTAAATATCATGATTGTTAGACCTTAATCAGAAAAAAAAAAAGTGATGTGAACTAAATTTTTATTTCAGTAATTTTGATATAATTATATAAATATATATATATATATATATATATATATATATATATATATATATATATATATATATATATATATATATATATATATATATATATATATATATATATATATATGTATATATATATGTATATATATATATATATATATAATATATATATATATATATATATATATATATATATATATATATATATATATATATATATATATATATTTATATTTATATTAATATGTACCATATCAAAAACAAGCAAAAGATTATTAATTAAATTACAAAATACAGTGGAGCGACATCAGACATCTCTATGGAGACGAAACAAGAAAACGTCAAAGAAAAATTATATTTAAATCAGCTAATCAGCAGCATCATAAAACTAAAGAAGGAATTTATCTTTATGTCTACAATTTGAAGTTTGAGTTAGACGTAAAAATAAGTTCCTCCTTTCGTTAAATGATACTGTTGATTAGCTGATTTATATATAATTTTTCTTTGACGTATTTCTTGTTTTGTCTCCATAGAAACGTCAAACGTCTCTCCACTGTATTTTATAATTTTATTAAAGTTTTTTTGCATTTTTTTGATATAGTTAATGGCTGGTGATTGCCATATAGTCACGAATCTTATTGTTCTATGAAAAGTTTATTATCTTTATGTTAGAAAGTTTAGAAAGTTTAGAAAGTTTAGAAACTCAATTTAGAAGGTTGTTTACTTTAGTATTTAGTATTTAGTATTTAATTCTTAACCGAATTAGAGTTTTGTATCGATATATATATATATATATATATATATATATATATATATATATATATATATATATATATATTATACATACATACATACATATATATATATATATATATATATATATATATATATATATATATATATATATATATATATATATATATATATATATATATATATATATATATATATTATATATATATATATATATATATATATATATATATATGTATATAAATATATATATAAAAGATATAGAATTTTTAACAGTTCTGCATCAGATTGAACAAAAGATTTTTTTATTATATAACTAACATGCGGTTTGCTTTGCTTGCACTTGATTTTTCTACTTCAAGTTATCTAAAAAAATCACTCCTTGTCCTTTTTCTGAATCTGATTTGTTGAGTTTACAACCATTTATATAAATCTCTCATTTTTATAGCCATAGTGCATAACTAAACATTTGTCAATATTAAAATTAAGAAACCAATCTTGTGCCCAAGCATACGCAAAATTCAAATAACATTGTAGTTTATTATGTAACTCATCAGAAGGACTAATCGACATGATTTTTGTGTATTCAGCAAATAATTTTGAAATATTTTTAGAGACTCAGATAGATTATTTATATAAAGTATAAAAAGTAGTGGAACCAATACAGATCCTTGAGTAACTCCACTATACACACCAGCCCAAGTTGAGACATAATCTTCCATAATAATTCGCTGCCTTTTATTAGATAAGGAAGCTTGAAACCAATAAAGTACTAAATCACTAACACCATACGCTTCAGGTTTTAAGATAAGCCTTTGATGTGGTACAGTATCAAATGCTTTTTTAAATTCAAGTAAAACTACATCCACAGGAATTCCTTGATCCATATTTCTTGTAATATAATCTAGAGTTTCAAGTAAATTGTTAGTACAATATCTATTTTTAACAAATTCATGCTGTTGATTAGCGGTAATATCATTTTCATGAAGATATTTTTTAAACTAATTTTTAATTATGTCTTGTAATATTTTAAAAGTAACACATGGAAGTGATATAGGTCTATAATTTTCGGAATCAGTCTTGTCACCTTTTTGATATAGTGCAGTTATATTTGCTTAATTAAATTGATTTGAAAAATTACTTTTTTCTATTGACTCCATTAAATTTAGTGTTAGAGGTAGAGCGAAAGCAGTAGCATAGTTTTTTAAGATAGATGAATGTAACTTGTTGACTCGGTAGGCTTTGTTTAGATCAAAATTGTTTAGCTTTTCAAGAACGTTTTCATATTGGATATCTTCAGGAGTTAAATTAAAGCTAGTATTATTGATTCTTGTTTTGAATAATGGAGTACACATTTTATTTTATTTGACAAAAACGTTTTAAAAATTTATATTTAGAAGATCAGCAATCTTTTCTGGTTCCTAGGTTTTTTGGTTCCTACTTTTGGTTCCTGGGTTCTTTCACCGTTTGGTTGTCGCAGAGTTTTTATATAGTCTCTTACATATTGATGTGAATTCATATATTTATATAATACTTATGGGTTCTTTTTACCTTTTTTCCACAATCATTGACTCGAATTTTCGTCTTGCAATGGAAATTTCAAATGACACTCTTTTTGATAATTCTTTATATTGGTTACAAAGACTTGAACTTTTCCATTTACTAAAACTATTTCTGTGACTTAAATTCTGTTTTTTTCTAATAAGAAATTACACGCTTCTTTAGTATAATGAATTAACTCATCATATATTTCTTGAACATTCTTGGTATGTGGAAATACTGAAGCCAATCGACACTTGTAAGGAAATCATTTATGTTATTGGTCTGTTTTTCTATATAAAATTTTTTTTCATCTGTATTTTTATTCATTGTTTTATTTTTAAGAATAAAATCAAAACACAATATCAAATGACCCCTCGATATGTTTCCTAAAACAATTTTACTCTCAATGGCACCTATGTTTGCTGACTGAGTAGTGAATATTAAATCTAAAATATTTAAAGCAGATATATTTGTTGTTTGAAATGTTGGTATGTTAACATGCTGATATAAGTAATTTTCAATTATTATTTTATAAAAAACATGCTTAATTTTGATTCTTTAATTGAATTTATTGAACCATTGGTCAAAATTAAAACAGGAAAGTTAAAATCATCAACCATAATTAGATATTTATAACCTTTTTAGTTGACATGTTCTTTAGCAATTTTAAATACATTTTTAATATCAATCATATCTGTGAAGCGATAAGGTCTATAAATACATCATAAGATATTTATTATTGTTATCCAAAAAGATATTTATTATTATTCAATAAGATATTTATTATTGCCGAACTGAATAACAGCCCAGACATGCTCAATTTGACTCAATGTAAATCTGTTATCATTAAGTTCGTATGAAGTAAATTCGCTGTCAATATAAATACATACACCTCCGCCTTGACAACCATCGCATCTATCTTTTTTATGTAAAAAATAACCTTCCAATTTGCATAGTAGGTATAAACCATGTTTCAGTAATAGTAATTATTTTAGAACCGTAAGTTGCAACTATTAGTTTAAATTTGTCAAATTTGTTTTTTGTATGTACCTTGATGCCACAAGAGATGTGGCATCAAGGTACATGCAATTTAGTTTTTTAATGCTATTCATAGAAAACAGACTATTAGTCTTACTGTCTAACTTTATTTGATTTCTTTTTAAATTTTTGTACCTGATTTCCACGGATACCATACCAAAAGGGATCCGTTTTCTTAAGGGAATTATTTAGTTTATTTTGGTCTGAGTATAAAATCGTGTTTCCGTTCAGCCTCTGTTAAATGTGGAGATATATAGATATTTTTAAAACTTGAAAGTAATTTTAATTTTTTTGATGAAATTAGTGTTTTGTTTCGAAGATTGGAATCAGCCAAGTTAACCAATAATGGGCTTGATTTGTCAGAAATTTTACTTCTTAAATGTCTCACATTCTCAAATCTTATGTCTTGAACTCCACTTTCTGTAAATATTTCCAATACTTACGCTTTGTTTTCAGCTACTTTATCATCTAAAAAACTTTATTGGATTCTGACACTCCATAAATAATGTTATTTTTAGCTCTCTTTTAACGTTCATTCAACTCATTTATGGTAGAATTTGCTAATATAAGTTGATCGTTTGGTTTTTTAGTTAGTTTTCCTGACTTTTTAATCCAATCATTTGTGCTCGATTGCTTGACTAAAGAGCTTATTTGTGCAAAGTCATTTTTTAACTGATTTATAACTTCTGCATTAACTGTTTTTTCTGACTTAAACAGTTGCAAACGCTCATACTTTTTTTTTCGTTCTGTTCTATATTATTTATTTGATCAGAAAGAGATAAGAAAAAGAGTAAAATTTTTACAAACTAGTCATGCAACATTTTTTAAGCTACTGAATGATTTCCCAGTCAAAAGGCAGGCCAGCTTTCTTTAGCCAAAAATTAGCAGTCCATTATTTGATGTAGGAGGGCTACCATCCTTCACAGTGGATTACCTCCTGGTCGAGAAATATTATTATTATACTTATTTTTCGCAAACAAATGCGGCTTTGCAAACAAATATGTCTTATTAACACAAATACGTTTTTTTGTGTTTTTTTCCGTGTGTGTACATATATATATATATATATATATATATATATATATATATATATATATATATATATATATATATATATATATATATATATATATATATATATATATATATATATATATATATATATATATATATATATATATATATATATGTTACATTAATTATACATTATAATCCATAAAACATGTTACATTAATTATACGTTATAATCTTTAAAGGAGTTTAATTGATTGTTTAAGGTTATGAGTAAGCAAATAAACGTTTAAAAAAAAAAAGAATGTCATAGAAGGCTTGTTTTAGCAGCTTTTAATAAAAAGTATATTTTTGTATATGGGTATATAATAAAATATTTTTTTGTAACTGACATACTATTTAAATTTAATGTTTTTTGACATTCAGTGTTTTGTATCTCAAAATTATCATAAAAACTTGAAAACCATATTGTCCTAGATTATGGATCTAAATGCGTATCAAACTGAAAAATGGTTAAGAAAAAGAAAACTCACTTTTATTGCATTTTCAATCCAAATGGTTATTATTAGAATTGAATACACACTTACTCTTTTAACGTTATGGTTGTACATTAAAGAAATGATAAAGACAAGCTCCCCGAAATTACTGTATAGTATTGTTTCTGTTTCTTACATGTTAGCATCGACTATTGTGATGCCATTCATAGGAAGAATAGTCGATAAGTATCGAAATGTAAAAAGCTGTTTTTTGTTGTGCAATTTGTTAATGCTTACGGGAAATGTACTATACAGTATTCCTTTTTCACCAGTTTTTTTAGTTGCAGGAAGGATCATTGCCGGCTTTGGTGGGTCGTTAAAATCTGTAATATTTAGCGAAACAATACGAGGTTATCCGGCTTCTGAAACAAGTTCAAAACTATCAGTTTTATCAATAATGTATAATATAGAATGCGTGGTTGGCCCAGGAATTAATTTTTTTTTTAAAGATATGAGCTTTTTTATTGGACGTTGGCATTTATTAGACGTAAACTTTCCTGGGCTTTTTATGGGCTTTATATGTATTGCTATGGAAATTTTTACATTAACAATGGTGCACAACCTATCAAAGGAATTTGATTACAAAGCTTTATCGGAAAATAATAAGGCAACTGATACTGTGGAAAACGTTATTTGTGATAAATACATGGAAAACGTTGAAATTATACCAGTAGGAAGTTATAATAATGAGAGTAACTTTACAGGCGTCAGCGATGAAAAAAGCAATTACGCAGAGGATGACGATGAAAAAAGCAATTATGCTGACGATACCGAAGTACTTTTACCATTTGGTTCAAAGAAACATACCGTTTTTAAAATACTAAAAGTGTTGTTTTTGCATATTGATTCTGCGCTTATTTTGTTTTCTAATTTTGTTATAGGCTTATTTTTTATATCCACGGATATATGGCTGCCTTTGTTAGTTATAGAGAAAATGCATTTATCAATATTAGAAATGAACATTTGTTTTTTTGGATTGAGCGGAGTATGTACTCTCTTGTTGATTCGTTTTATTTGGAAACCTATGTCACATAATAGCCTAATAATATTGTTGATTATCAGTTTAGTTGGTTACAGTAGTGTAAGCGCAGGATTTATAGTTCTGTCATACATTCCATTCAACAAAGTGTTAAACGTCGTCATAGGCATCATTTTTATGGTAAGTTTTGGAGGTGCTCCTATACTTAATGACGTTTTTTTTGTCAATACGTTATCCAAAATGGTAAAATCAAACAATTTAACATTTGTTGACAGTATTCGATATTCTATGTTCTCCGCAGGAGCTTTTTTAGGTTTTACTTTTGCTCCATTTATGTTCGACTATGTTGTAATCTTTGGAACACTGTTTATCCTTGCTATGATCATTATCGGGATTATGTTCATTGTACGACACAAACATTTTGTTAATCCGAAGCTTTTGTTCTAACTTTTGATTTAAAAATTTTAAAATATACGAATTAACAATTATACAAAAATCTTGACTGCACAAATTGTGAATAGACTTAGAGATCGGTAAAAAAGGATTATATTCACTTTTAAAATATTTGATAAAAAAAACGTAGTTTTAGAGCATTTCATTTATCTTGGAAACCATTTTAAAAATGAAAACTTTTAACAAAAAAGTTTTTTTATATATTCAATATAAAGCACAATATTTTTATTTGAATAATTTTGATATTGTATAAATATATTTTTTTTATTTCCATATTTTGTTAAAACTTTTATTTTTATAGCTTTCAAAAACATCCTAAATAAAATTCATCAACTAATCATAAAAATTTTCGTTGTATGTATGTTAGCCCATCCCATTTTGACCCTCGTGAACAAATTTTAATAGCAATTACTTTTTAATTAATTACTGCAATTGGTATAGTTTTGGGTAGCAATTAATTTTTAATTATTTGCTGTTAATTGCATTTAATTATTAAATAATTTTAATTAACAATTACAATAATTCATGTACGGCCGTGGCGCAGTGGTTACAGCGCTTGCTTTATAAGCAGGAGATCCAGGTTCTAAGCGGGCTCTGCACATTTTTTCACGTCACGGTAAGGAAGGAGGCGTGAACTTCCTGGTTAAATGCACTTCCGCGGTGCTCTGTGACAAAACCGTTAGGTCTTCTTAGGGCACCTAAAAATAAAAAATAGAAAAATATATATAATAATAAAAAATTAATTTTTTCACCAAGTCTCATTATTACAAGGTTATTGTATTACTATCACTACTCTATTACAGGATATTTTATTTGAAAAGAAAATTTTTGGGGTAAATAAACACTTTTTTCTATATACTATTTACTTAAAGCTAGAGTTATAAGTTCAAATTTTAGTTCTTATTCTACCCATGGGGTACAGTGCCTAAAAATAACGTCTTTTGAACGTTCCAAAGACGTCCAAAACGTTCAAAAGTCATTTTAAACGTTTAAAAGACTTTTAAAATCCGTCTTTTTTACGTCTTCACTGAGTCTGTCACTGAGTTTTTTAGGTCCTTTTTTAGGACCTAAAAAAGACGTATTTTCAACGTTCAAAAGACGTCCAAAACGTTCAAAATACTCGAATGACGTTAAAAAGACCTCTTTTGTATGTCCCGTGCCATTTGGGGAAAACATGCTATCGTTAAATTCAAAACAATAAAAAATTCAAAAAAAATGAAAAATAATTCAACTAATGCAAAAACTACAAAAAATATTTATTTCAATATTTATATCAATCTAGGGAACTTGAAAATTATAAAAGTAGTTTTTATTTAATATTTTTTATTACTTCAAATAAATAAGGAAACATTAACGCTAATCAACGACATCAACTTATGCACAGTATATATGAATTTTTTTTTCCTAATAATGTCCACTCTCTAATTAAATCTTTAGCTGTATTTATTGTTTTGCCAATTTTACGCAAATATTTGCCAAATCCCCAAAATTTCTCAATTGGACAGAACTGTGTGCAGATTGATGGATTCAAGCTTTTTGGTATTAACTTGGCGTCTCTCGAATTGTATCACTCTTCTTAGAATAATGACTAGAAGCAAGATTAGGCCAGAATAACAGGGGACATCGTGTTTTCGATAAAGTTCCAAAAGTCTAGCTTGCAAGTATTCTTTTATGTAAACATCCAAGTTTAAAGTTGACAATGTGACAAAACTCGAGATCTTAAACCGCAGCTGCATATTGCTTGCCAAATTTTATTCTTTAAAAAACTCTGAAACTTTGTATCTTTTGGCTCGTTCTCTTATCGATTAGCAGGGTTTTGCGTGAATGATCGTCGAATACTAATTGTTGCTTTCTTATCTTTAAAACCACTTCGTCTTTTAGATCCTTTTGCTCGTTCGATAGATAGAGAGCTCTTACGTTGTTTTATGACCATAAAAACAGTAGTTTTGCTAGATTCAGATGCTTTAGTGATTGAAATTAACGATACAGAAGGACTTTGTAAATAGTTGTGCAGAGTTAATTTTGTTTTTCTAAATGTTTAAATGACATTTTAATTAAGGGAAACAATTTGAATTATATGTTGATCCCAGCTAGCACACTGATAATGGGCCAACGTAAGTAAAAATTACATCGTAAAAAGAGAATGTTCGATGAAATTTTTAGGTGTAATTCTAGATGAAAACATAAATTGGAAAGACCACATAAACATGATTGAAAATAAAATTTCTAAAAATATTGGATTACTCTATAAAGCAAAACCATTCTTAGATCAATCCTGCTTGAAATACATATATTACTCATTTATACATTCTTATCTTAATTATGCAAACATTGCTTGGTGTAGCACCAATAAAACAAAGATAAAATAGCTATTTAGCAAACAAAAACATGCAATTAGATTATTATCAAATGCACACCGCCTCTCACATTCAAGACCATTGTTTAACAATCTAAAAATACTAAATGTGTACCAAATAAATATATATCATCTTCTGATTTTTATGTATAAAATTAATAACAATTCAATACCAAATATCTTCAAACCATTATTTAATAAAATTCAACACAAATACGTAACTAAATATTCTAACAACAACTTTGTTCAACCCAAAACTATATACGACTCCACCAAGTTTTCAATAACTGTTAGAGGACCTAATGCATGGAATAAGATAATCAGTAATGATATTAAAACACTTAAAACTCTTGATCAGTTTAAACAAAAACTAAAACTATTACTTTTAAATAATGAACAAACAGATAATTATTTTTAAATCTATTTATAAAAATATTATATATTAAAACTATCTACTAATGCATACTTTATTTGTCTGGAAGGTCTAAATTCTTTAATTTTATATAGGTATTACAGTCTGTTATATTATAAAAAAAGTACTTATAAAGATTTTTAGCATTTTTAGATTTCATTAGTTTAAATAAATTTATTAGTTTTCTTAAATAAGAGAGAGAGAGAGGAAAAATAAAAAAAGTAATCTTTTTTGAGTTTTAATTTTTTATATTAATATTTTGTAATTTGTTTTTGAGGAATTAATATATTACACTTTATAAGAACAGATTGTAAATTAAATTTTACGTTTACTTTTTTCATGTTTTTTAGTTTTTTGATATTTTTGTTTTTCTGAATGAACTTTTAAATTTTTCTTTCAAAAAATAAAATCGAAAAAATATCTTTCAAAACTTTGAACTATTAAACTATTTGGCATTTTATATAAACTTCTTTGCAATATTTTGCTTTTTTCTTAATTTTTTAATTTTCATTTTAGTTACCATGTATTTATATAAATGTCTAGACAAACAAGGGACTTGGTGATAAGACAACCCCGTCTTCTTCTCGTCCTTGCCATTTTTAAATATTTTAAATTACGGAACTTGTAAATATTTGTACGGCTAAATTATAAAAAAAAAAAAAAAAAAAAAAAAAAAAAAAAAAAACCATCGCGAACGTCGGCTCTCTTTTCCAATGCAAAACCAACGTTGATACAATGTCATTTGGTTAATGATAAAATTATTACCGACGGAACTAAAAACATCTGGCAAATTTACATTGGTCTAATGTATATAAAAGCATCTCAAAAAGTTGATTGTTTTTACGATCTAAATTCAATGTTGATCCAATGTATATATTTCGTCGTTGATTCAAAGTATATAAATCAACGTTTTTTCAATGTATGTAAAAATATTCGCAAAAATTTTATTGTTTTTATGATTTAAACCCAACGTTGATCCAATGTATATATCTCGACATTGATTCAATGTATATAAATCAACGTTTTTCCAATGTAAGTAAAAACATCGCAAAAAGTTGATTTTTTTACGATCTAAACCCAACGTTGATCTAATGTATTAATTTCGACGTTGATTCGATGTATAAAAATCAACGTTAATCCGATGAATGTAAATACATCGCAAAAGGTAATTGTTTTTACGAACTTGTTGATCGAATGTATGTGACCAAACATTGCTATTGCGAAATTATATAACTTAAATAAAATCTTCCGTGATTATTAAAATATCTAACCACAATCGACACATGATTTTTGTTCCAATGATCAAGCATTTTCGCCTTTACACATATATTCATTGGCTGTCTATAAAAAATATATATATATTATATATAAAAACATAAAATCTAATAAAAATTTAATTGCGAATAATATTGTATACAACGTTTTGCCAATTAAAGTTCAACGTCGAATCAACGTAAATACAACGTTGTGCCAACGTATAAAATAAAACATTGAATCAACGTAGAAAATACAACCATTTTCCGACTTTAAACAAACGTTTTATCAACATTGGTTTTTAGTTGTTGGCGACGTCGCATTTGTAACCATAATCATATAAAAACAACGTTGGCAGCCGATGTTGGGCCAACGAAACGCGCGATATTGTTCTAATGTTTTAACAACGTATGTGTGCCAGCTGGTTATAATTACTTAATGTTATTACGCAAAAAAAATAATTTAATAATGTGTTAATGGCTAGTTTTAAAACGAATCTCAATGTTCCAAGTTTAACGATCGTATGTTTGAAAGATATGAATAACCTTTGATCATTAAATCATCAAATATTTAAAAGCTTAATATCAGTATAAAAATATAATATATAACATTATATGCATCACTGTAATGTTTCCATATATAATTTACTTTTTTTTTCAATAAAGCATATTAAGAAATGCTATTAAAGGATACACTCTTAGCAAAAATAGGAGATAACTGTCCAGTCCGCACCCTAGAAAACCGCAACATTCCTGTAAAAACTTATGACCATGGGATTCCAAAAATGTAAAAATTAAAATCATCTGCCTACGTCCGTGAAAGAAAATCAATTTTGAAATTTTCCTTTATTACACATATTTGTAAAATGACAGCGTTTCTATTTTTTGCATTTTTACAGCATTCTTTAAACAAAAATACATACAATAAATGAAAAAACATTATTCTAAAGGGATAAAAAGGTACATTCTATTCTCATATAAAGATTTCTAATGTAAGGTCAACATAATTTATTCATAAATCTCCAATTCTATTTGTTTTGTGCTCAGTGTTTTCTTCAAAAATTCTTGCTGTTAAAATCAACAAGGCACATCACAAGACTTTTTCCATATTCTGGATGACTGATTGGGTGTTTGTACCTTGCCCAATTTGTACTAAAACAATGGTGCATTGCTTCTGTTGTTTGTTCACTATAAATACCAAGTGGCATCTTTTTCCTTAGG